TAACAAATGTATGTTGTATAAAACTGTGTAACAACCAGTATTGTTTTAAAAACTCGTCAAATAGAGAGAAGCTAGCAGGCTCTTTCTAAGCAGCTGGCTCTGTCTGTTCTTTTGGATGATAATTATATTTAAGAATACTTTCAAGAATTCCTCTAACTCCTGATAAGCTACCAAATAATGGGATAGGAAGGGATGTCAATGAATTTCTGTGCTTAGGAAGACTGACTAAAGAGAAAAACTTAACCAAGTCTTACAGAAATATTTCAAACTTGAAGACTTCTCGGATAGAGCACAGAACGAAATAGTCAACGAGAGGAAAAACATTAGGTACGTGACTATGGCTAGACTATTTTGTAAAAAGAAGAAAGTGAAATCAGTTAATCAGCGTGGCGTTGGGAAATAGCAGGTTACATGGATCTGTTAATTAATAGGAAGGAAAGGAAAAGGCTACCTCTGGCAACTTTAACAAGTTTCTAAATTGAGGAAAGATCATTCATAATTCATAACGTGCATCGGCCATGTAACCAAGCTTTTGCCAGGTTGTCAAGGGGAATCAGGAATACTTCGAACTTCAAGATTCGAGAAATCACGTTGGTTGTAACTTAAAACGAGAAAAATGAGTAGTAGTGAAGAGTTAAGGGAAGAAGATAGCGGTTTAAGATGGTTGTTTTTAGAAGGGCAAACGGTTTTTCGAATACCGTGAACGCTTGGTCTCAATACGTAAGTATATAGAAATAATAGGGACCTTACGATGGAGGTTTTTTGGCATTTCCCACGAGCCGCGAATGTGAAGAAGTCACGTGACCAGTGTCTTGTCACGTTTGCAGTTTCAGGTTTACGGTTGTACGGCCGAACCTAGATCTAGAGGTATGTGATTACCACAAGGTTTTTTGCACCCTAAAACATCACAATCCCACGTTTNCCTTAGCAACGGTCACTACCGAAAAGCCTCGCTTTCGTGTAGCGGCCGCCATATTTGCAATCGGTCTATCCCACTTGATATTATGTTCAGTGGCCTTGACGTGGTCGGCAATGGCTGAAGTATTGTCATTTTTAGTAAGGGCCTCAAAAGGTTCGGTTTTTCTTTTGTGAAGCCGTTGTTTTCTTATTTATGATCAGATTACGATGGCCCAAGAACAAAAGCATTTACGATAAAGCAGTTTTTTTTGGACTTGTTAATCATTTGTTTCATATATTTACTGATTTACTTTTGATTACGTAGCGTAATAACTGTGTTCCTATAAACTTGTTGATAGGACCAGATGGGAATACATTTGGCCGGAGATCATGGCGCACGAGCCGAGCCGTAACTTTTTCTCAAGTTTTTCTCCCTTTTCTCAATGAACTCATAGCGTGCTGGGCTGTGCGGCTTTCTCTGGCCCGAATTATGGTTTATATTTGAAACCTAGCCCTAACTTTAGGCGTAAATGAGTTATCAATTTTTATTTACCTTTTACTTTTGTAAATTTCTTTACACGAATGAAGGAAAGGACCTGTAATAAGATGAAGTAGAAAATTACAAAGGTATTAATTATATTTCTGAGCTCTATTTTTATAAACATGCACCCTAGTCTGATGATGTATACGTTGATGCCTTGAGGAGCATACTGCCAAGGATAAGTACAATTAGTTCAAAACTATCAAAGAGCAGTTTTGAAGCAAATGTCCCCTATTTGATTGGAATTGGGAGTAGAGCTGGTTGCTTGAGAAGCTATTTTAATAAGTTTATTAAAATTATTACTTAACTTATTACTTAAAACAAAGTCGGACGGAGAGAGGTGTACAGTGAACAAAACACCATTCCAAATCTCGGAATGGAATTCTTACAGAACTCTCACTCCCAGTTGTAGAGAAAGTTTTGATTGACAAACTCCATGCTGGCTCAATTGGATCAGATAGGAACAGCGCACGAGCTATGTTTTCATATTATTCATACTTTGAATATTATACCTTCGCACGTCAATCCATCTCCATGGTATTGTGGTTTACATGTGCATTTGTACGATCCCTTAGAATTGTTACACACAGCATCAACACTGCAGCTGTGCGATCCCTCAACACACTCATCAATATCTGAAAGGAAGTTTCCCTGTTGTATTCATCAATAACATATGTAATGGCATTCAACGTAGGGAGAGTGGAACCTCTTTGATTGTCGTTGTGTTTCATTGCTTTGTGGAGGGGGTCATTCTTACACTACGATTTTAGCAAATGTAATGATAATAACTATAATAAGTTAATAATGATAATGAATTTATTATACATAGAATTAAAAAGGTTGACACTAATTTACATTAAAGCTCAGTGTACAGAATAAATTATAATCTACATATAAATAAATTAAATTGATTAAATAAATAAATAAGTATGAAGGCTAAATATATATACAACTAAAATTACATACAATCATTTCGCAAACCAATGGTTTGAAGTAAAACTCCTTATCGATTCAGAATTCTTTACATGATTTGCTAAATCATTAAAAAGCTCAGCAGCTGCACAAGAAAATGATCTACTTCCTGATTTAGATGAAATCCTATTACTACGTCCCCTAGTATTATAATTATGTATATCCAAATTACGAGAAAAAAAATTCAAGGAGTAGGATGGACAGAAACCATTTATGCAGCGGAAAACTTGAAGACATTTGTGTAAGCTCAAGTTTGTCATTGCGCTTAGTAGTTTTCATGCGCTAGTTTAGGGCTCAGCCCGCCGCAACTAAGCCACACGTGTTATGCTCGTTATTTTTAGTGACGACCTTGAGTAAGTCGAGTTGATTTAAGTTTCTTAGTGTGTTCTACGTTTTATCGGAGCAAAACGTGTTTTGTAAGTACTATTCCTATCGCTTGGTTCGTTTTAAAATTCAGCGTTTCCTTTCTCTATTGCATCTTTTGTTTCAAATTCCTTTTACCTTTTAGGAACTGTGTAATCNCTGCATATCCACAACTACAAAGTGGAGTCCCGAATAATTCATCTGGTTCGAATTGCAATGCACCGAGCACACAGTTACTAATTGTACTTCGTATCCTTTGGAATTTACTAGTTTAGCGTTTCAAGTTAAGCTGGTAAAGTTGTCGAAATGAGAAACTGTAACTAAAAAAATGAAACGAACAAATGATTTCTCTGAGACATTTTTCTTTATTTACATCATGAAATAAGCAGTGATTTGAATTGACTTTGTCGACGCATACAAGGTCTCATTGCACTATGTGTACAGTAATCTACACACACTAATATACATTAGTAGAAGGAAACAGACGTATACTGGTAAGTAAACAAACCGCCCCCGCACCACACAAGGCCATCAGTCATGTGACAGTAAACACGAATATCCAGGTGAGCTGGTAATGTCATTGCGCGCTAATGGAGAGAAAACCTTAAAGGCGTATCACACAGGGCAGCTCGCACGTTTTTATCAATAGAAGTTGATTCACGGCGGTCATGGCCGAATCGAGTATTGTTATCGATGCTTTTCAGAATTTTGCTTCCTATTCTTGTACCTCCATTGGATCTCTGAGTGATTGGAGCTGTTCGCTGGAGAATTTTTGATAGTTATCTCAACGATTTTGTATGTGCCATTCCCCTTATTTAACTTTGGTGTTAGATCCCGTTTGGCGAATGTATCTTACAATGTAGTGGACGAATTAGTGTAGTGGTAATAGTGAAGTGATAATGTTATCGAAAGTTTTGAACTGTGCGCGTTGTGCATGATGGGTACATTAAGAAATGCTTAAAATTACCTTACTACCATCGATTTTCATGAGAAGCGTCCATCCACCGCACCCTGCAGGCCTCAAGGTCATCAGGCATGCAACAATGAACGTGGACCCTCTCATGATCCAGTTGAAGTAAGTAAGCCTTATACACTCGTGATCTGATGAAAAGACCGTTTTCACTTTGTGTTATTTATTTTCGTTTTTGGAACGAAAATAGTCAAAGACTGCTATAGAATTACCTCATAGCCGAGAATCTCCCAAAATTGAACGTTTGGCTGAAAAAGAAATTTCTTAATTTTGTAAGTAGACAGGAAAAGTCAGGTGATAAATGTTAGCTTGGACATCTTTTCTTTTACTGAATATATCAAAGTTTTACATAGGAAGAATTCAAAGGACGCCACTCAAGGCATTGTATGACAGTCCTTTAGCTGTAAATGTACAGCTAGCTAATGACTTTATCGTGGCACCACAGGAAGAGGTGGAACTTCCTCGGTCGTCGTTGTGTTTTGTCATTGCGATAACAACGATCAATAATGACCTGGCCTTGACTCTCAGAAATTCCTTACGCGAAAGAATAGAGAGACCTGAAATGAGATAAAGTACAGAATAACAAAGGTAACTTGCCGAAGGCGAAGTGAATATTGTTGATATTGCCCTATGGGGTTGCAAAAACCTGCATTGCGGGCATTTTGCGATTTTGAAATTCCATGATGTATCATTGACCAGTTTTAACGAAGGGAATACTTTAATCAATTTCATTTACGTCTGAAAGTGAGATATTATTCTTGTTTAGCTAATGCTGCAAAATTGTCATTGTTACTATCATATTACTAATAAATACTGTTACTTTTTTACCCTTGTGTTACTCTTTTAACAAAGTGATTCTTTACGAAAATTTTTAAACATTATAGATAGGGAGGCTGGCTTTTTGTAATCTGGACATCATCATTTGGATGATAATTGTATCTAAAAATGCTTT